ACCCCCGCCTCGGGAACAGCCGCCTGGCCCCGAGGGAAGGAAACCGTGGTTTCTGGTACAGGCTCCTGCTGAATTTATACTTTGTTTAGATGAGGTTGGCAGAGGAAGTCTCAGTTCTGGACAAAATGCAGGCACATAAGCCCTGTGCCCCGGCTTGCCCTTCGAGGCCCGCTCACTAAGCCCACACCACCTATTTATTTTGGAGACAGCTAAATGTCCCGCAGACTCCCGGCCGTGCCCTGTGCGTCAGCTCTCGTGTCTTGTCAGCAGCTGGGAGATAAAGCAAAGGCACCCTTTGACAGAAGGCACGGCACTCGGAGCAGGAACACCACCTCACCGCCAAGGCTCTCCCCGACAGCCTGCAAGAGCCAGCCTTCTTATCTCGGGTCCAGATCAGATGAGCACTTGAAATTTTTATTACTGTGCTAAGCTCATGATATGAATTAATCAAAAATCACTAAAGGCAATGCTGATGATTTTGGGGACTTGTGCAAACGCTTTGTTTCTCAGTCTAACAGGCAATACAACTTCCACCAGTTAACGACTAGTATTGGTATCATCAAAATTATGTAGCATACACTCCATAACCAGACATCGTTTTCTACAGGAAAAAAAAAAAAAAAAAGGAGCGATCTGGAACCAGAGATGGAATTTTAGTTAGTAAAAGTTAAAATGCCGTCTCCCCCACCCCCTTTTTGTCCCCCTGGCATCAGCCAGCTTCTAAACTTAGCTTGGACTCTTTAAAAATGAAACTGGACTAGAGTTCTTTGACATGTTCAGGTGAAATCCTGTAACATATTTACTGTCCTCCCACTCTTCATACATTAAAACACTTAAAATGTTATCAGTTATTTACAGGCACACAAGCTGTATATTCTTCCGAGGAAGTCAACGGGCATAGCGGTAACTAAATAAGTCAATCAGATCGCAGTATGTACAAGCAATAAATTTGCATGATTCAGTTCCAGCCATTTCTATATTTCTGCAAACTCACTGGAATTAATAAGATGTATGGCAATAAGTGACAGCAGGATTCTGTCCTGAGCAGGCTACAGTTCACTGTAAATTCCCATCACTTCCATAAGTAGCAGTACTTGTTTCTATTGTTTTATGTTGCATAGCATGGGACAAGTTAGTAAATGGGCTCAGTAAAATTACAAACCCCAAAAAGGGATGAGGGTAAAGAGGGATTTTTGTTTAGGGGAGGGTGTCTTCTCTTTTCGCTTGCGTGAACCCACACTGCTAACATGATTAGACTTTTGCCTGAATCGGAGGATTGAGTATGGCCTGAAGCAGGTAATTACCATGGTGATGTAGAAAGGCTCTTTTAGCTCTGTTTTAATATCAGATGAATGTTGCACACTCCTGACTATGGGAGTCCATTTTGCTTGTTGCCACCATAATCTTTTAAATTGTAGCATCTTTCAAAAATACGATGAAGTGCCTAGAAATTAAGCTTTCGCTCATGTATTAAGCATTTTCACTATATGCCTTTCCAGCAGGAACATGGTCTTTCTGTACACCTTTCCTCCCTACAACTTGAACTCCGTAGCAGAGAAAAATCAGTTACGACTATGGAGTGCTTCTTAGTTTATGTTGCTGAACTGAGAATGCAAAGTGGTCCTGTATGATGAAGAGAGGGAAGTCACATTTATCATTAAATTTGAGTATAGTTGGTTTCATTCTCCCCTAACTTTTTGTCAAGGTACTAGATAGAAACAGAGTTAATTCTTACACTGGAGGAGAGCAGAAGTGGGCCCATTCCCGATGGCATGAGGTGTCCTGCCTTTCTGCTTGGAAACAGTACCTTGCTTGGGTTGGACAGCATGTGCAAGCTGCAGCTAGAAGTTACCGGCTTAAAGGGCAGTAAATACCAGCCTGAAATGCCAGTATCCACAGCACTGCAGAAGCGAGGAGAGTTTAACACGCCTTTCAGGTTAAAATGTCACAACTCCACAACCTGCTTTTTACAGTCCACTTAGAACGAGAAGATGCATGATTTGTATTTGTGTTACCCACTGAATGAATATTATCTTTAATGGTATTAAATATCTGAAAATGTATCTCATTTCTTTTTGCTATTTGTAGTACTATAAAAACAGAGGCAGATGCAGAATGTAAACATGGTGATTTATTTACACTTTCTAGAATAATTCTGTTGAAACGTATGGACTGTGTTTGCAGACAAAGATATGTGTCAGAGTTAATTCCCGTTAAAAATTTTATTTCAGATAATGGACACTCAGTGTATTTTACTACACTTCTAAGTTTTCTGCACTGTGGTAATTTTATCCTCTGTGTTTGTTAAAGGAATACATTTACATAGTCCTTTTCTCTGTCACTGCTTATGGTTCTACATGGTTCTTATGGTACTACAGCTCCAGTAATTAATATGGTAATTTAAAGTTACATAAACTACATACTCTGATTACACTGTCCTAGTTAAATGCTTGTTTATGCAAAAGTATAATATTACTTGGAAATGTTTTAAGCAGTCACAAATTACTCTCATTTGCTCACTACCTCTCCTTTTTCTCTGGACCTTTTTGAGGTCCAGAAGCTCCTAGTGTCACCAGTATTCATAATCTCTCCTGTGGCTGTTACTGCCCAAATTTTAGAGCATCTTATCACACTGTGAGAAGCATCCAGTTGTTTCTGAGTGGTTGGCGTGTATCTCTCTTCCCCACACTTCAAGTCTCCTTTTCTGCCTTGGTGAGTTGATAAAAGATCATGTTCTGTCTTGAGTTGGATAGAGAGCAGGGATATTTATGCATTATTTTAATCAAATACTATGTCTGACTCACATGGTTAATCTTGTGCTTTTTTTAGCTGAATTTAATGGTTATCTTCCAGGAGACACCTCAATAAGAGGAGAAATAGACTAAAATTTAATTTGGATATGTTATATCTAAAGCTGCGTTGGGGAAACGGGTTATCAAGCTTCATCAGCATATGAATAGATCTACTTGGGCAGTGTATAGATATGCCAAAGAAAGTGGCCAAATTGCTAAGTCAGGGGAAAGGGAGTGGGCAGCAAAGCAAAATAAAACCCTCACCTATTTGTGACAAGAATACTGGCAACCCAGCAACATATCTCCTCTGGCACCCAAAGTACTAATGTGAAGAGAGGTCTGAAAGTTTAAACACCACCACCACAGTTGTTTCCTTAGCTATAATGAAGGGGACTTGGGCAGTTAAGTGAAACGGCCCAGGTTGAGTGAAAGAGCCTACTTACTTGACAGGGAATAGGCTCAGACCTGTCCCAACAAATGACAGAGCAGAGAAGAAAAAAGTGAAATGAGCACTAGTCTCACAATTAATTTAGATTGCAATGCTAGTTAAAGAGTAATTACACATCAGACCCCTTGCAAATTCTTAGATCCATTGATTTGAAACCATCCATCTCTCTCCAGAATGAGAAGTATAATCTCAGAATCCTTTCAGAGTTGCAAGCCTGGTAAGACTTACAGTTTACAGCTGCGAGGACTAGGTCAGGGTATAGCCTGGCCACTACAGGCCCGTGGCGGTCTGCTTGTATTGTAGGCTCTTTGTATGTACAGCTAAATCTCTAGCCTTTGGGTAATCTTGTTTCAGTTTTTAAGCCTTATCTAGCTTACTGCTGGTATTTGTGCCTCATGCTCTCAGTTGCGCAGCAATTCCATCAGAAGTGCAGCAATGCGGATGTTGTGCTCTACCACGTGTTCCTCTCAAATATTAATTAACAATTTTGCAGTATTCTTGGATAGCAGTTCTGATTTTTGGACAATTCATCTTAAGGGAGCCTGTGGTACTTCTAAGAAGTTAGCCTCTGCATTGTTAGGATCAGGTTTGAGAACCTAGGTAAGAGAAAATTGCAGAGCATCACAAAGAGAAATTTTTAGAAATCTCATGGAATTCTGAAGACAAAAGGGAAAATGTGGATCATTTGTGAAAAGAGGGGAATGTGGAGGGAAGACTAATTTTTTCTTTTCACTATTGTAGGGTTAGTTTCCACCATGCTAACAGGAATAAACAGGTTGCTATTGCTGAGAATTGAACCCTTGCTACTTATCAAGACATGATGCATACAGGTTCCACTCTAGAAGCGTGATACTGTTTTCCAGGTGAATAAGAAAGCAGTTCTGGAATTAAAATTTTATGCAAAGTTAAAATTTTGGCATGTATACACAAGGTGAGTTCAAAAACATTGGAGAGTTTTGAATAGGTGGCAACATAATTTACTCTTAGAGCTTAAAAGTATATAGACCTCATGTATGAGGCCCAAATGCTGCATCCTGAAGATCAGAAAGGCTCCAGCAGAGCTGTTTTCTTATATACAGCTGCTATTGCACGGACAGTTACTAATCACGGTATCATTTTCTGTTTCCTCCTTCTGGTCCTAAAAACCCCGCAGTGAAAAGCAAGCCAGTACGCTTTTGCTGACCACAATATTTCTTTCTGTTCCCTTTCCATCAACAAACTTGTCTCTTAAGATCACTTTCACCAATAGACAGTCATTGTACTCAGAGGACTCATACCATGTTCTGTACCATCTTCTAAAACTTATCCTTTGAAAAACAAAACAAAAAAAAATTAATTTGACAGATGTACTCTAGAAGAATCTGTGTCATTTTTGAACATTTTAGGGAATTTAACAAATCTGGCAAACTAGGGGAGTTATGATACTTGTACTTGATTTTTTTTTTTTACCTCAGCTGTAACAAACAAGTGAAAAGAAGTTATCTTGACTGTAAGTCCTAACAGCTGTGATTGAGACAAAGCACATATGAAATAGAATGGCTGGTCTAATCATTTATGGCCTTATCTTCAGATAAATGGTGGATTATACTAAAATTACTTTGAGCTTTCAAGTGAATTGCAACTAAGGGTAGGAAAACATCATGCTCGAAATAGCATGCTGTTGTGTTCTCCGTTGCACCATCATCTGAAAGAGCTACAGATTTTGGGCTGTCAGGTGTCTTTTACAATTTTCATTCCATTTGGGTTTTGTTTGATATCAAAACCTGCCAGGTATCCACTATATAACAACGCTAGCTATGGTTACTATTTGCGGTGTTTATCTCCTTTTATTGTAGTTGAGTAGCATTTCTCTTACAGGCACAGAAAATGGGTAATAACTGAAGACGACCTCACAGCAGGAAGGTGAGATCGGATTGGCAATGCATCAGTGAGTGGCGTGATTGAAGACAAGACAAAAAGCAGGCTTCAGCAAAAGGTAACTGGCAATATCTCAAGAAACTGGTACTGAATTTGGGCAAGGTCAATATCTAGACAGTATTTCACTGTTTGAGATGAAAGCTATAATTAGAGTTACGGCCAAAACAAAGAATGAGTTAACCAAACACCTAATTTCAGCGATTCATCTGTTCCTTTCTTTACTTCTAGGGCATACAAATTTGTCAGTTACTGATAGATCGTTGGCTAGTGGAATCTAATAATCAGTAGATGAAGTATAGGAACAGAAATAGAAAATAAAACAGCATTCCTGAGTCCCCTCAGTTTTCTGAAAATTGAGACGGATACACTGAATGGGAGTACTGTGCCTCCGCATTTCTAGCTCAGAGGGACCCATGCAAATAGTAAAACATTCCAATAAACCACTGAACAGCTGTACTTTTATGTTGGGGGGCTTATGCAAGGGAAAAAAATGTGCTAGTTGACTTCCCTAAAAAATGTTCTGTTGGCAGTTATCCTCCATTTAACCCTGCTTCAGCATCAGCACAGCCTGGCCGGACCATTTGCTTGAAGCAGGCAGCACATAATGTACAAAGATGCAGCCTGAACTTGTTTATTGAGGAGTCATGCATGTCCCTCCCAGTCTGAGTTTATAGGATGTACGTCACCTTTTCATCCTTTTCTTTATAAACTCCTGTTGGTTTTCAGCTTTTCTTCTTTCTCCCCTCATTCTTGTTTATACAATTTTCCTTTTTTCCTCCCTGTTGAGCCCAAGAGTTAGTCTGCTAGCACTCAGTTTCTGGCAGTTGCTCAGGATTTCCTCCCTCCTTAGGTTCTTTACTTAACGCACGACAATCGGAAATGGAAAGCATGGGGCAGGAATGAACACCTGTTTTCAAAGTGGGACTTTAGCTCTGCTGGTAGATTTCTCTTTATTATTTTCCTCTTGGCTTTATTATTAGCAGCTTACCATGATAAGACAATTACAGTTTTTCTCAAATCAGGCTTTATTTCAGGTAAAAGATATGTCTTTACCCATGTGCCTCCTAAAAAGCACTTCAAAGGAAAAGGGTTCAAAAATATTTTGCTTTTAAATATATTTTATGATGCTGTTCCACGTT